CAGCAGCAATAGTAATAAAATTACTTATTTAAATTATTATCTATATTTTTTTAAATGTTAAAAAAAAAACCCTTAATAATCTATAATAATAATAATAATAATTATTATTATTATTATTTTATATCAGTGATAAGAAAAAGAATTTTAATCACTGTAAAGTTATAAATTGATTCAAAAAAAAAAAGTGATTACTTAAAAATTAATGACTTTTTTTTTTAAATTAGAGGTCCTTAAATTTCAAACACAAAATTTTCTTTGTAAATATAAAGTTTAAGTTTATAATATGAAAAATTTTCTTACCATATTTTTAGAAATTATTTTGAACTCCAAGACAGGTTAATGCTACATAAATCTCAATATTATCATTTTTTTTATTTTGTGTGATTTTCTTTCCACACTCTATTCATTCAGCTAACTTTTTAAATATATTTATTATATTATTATTAAATTCGAATCTGTAAAAAAAAAAAAGAAAAAATTTATTTTGTAAAATTTTCAATATTTAAATAAGGTTATATTAGCAATTTGTCCAATACAAATTAGGGTAAAATTACAATAGAAAAAATTATTTTTAACCAATGTAAAAGATATACATTGAGTGTGATATACGTTATTATCTACTTTTAATGTAATAAAATACCGAAATAATTAAATAATATGTCTGAATGCAGTCGTTATAAAAGAACGTAAGCCTTATATATAAATATGGCTTATAATAATATTATGTATTTCAAAACAAAATTTGCATAAGTTGAATTGCCTAAAGTCATACAGGGAAATGAATAGAAAAATAATATATAAGGCTAAAAAAACGACTTTTTAATTTAAAAAAAAAAAAAAAGAAGACAAATCAATTGGTTAAAATAACTTATTTTAAAAAAGATGTTTTAACACCGTTGGCTTAGCCTACTTTCAAAAAAATATTCAATATAATAAATTAAATTACCTTTATTAAATAAATTACAAATTAAAATGAAAATTTTTAATGACTCAGTTAATGCATAAATCCACATAAATTTGAAAATGCAATTTGGATAAATCAGCACATGAAATAAATGAGATCTCCATTATGATACGAATCAGTGGTGTGTTTGATTTCTGGCCAATCACATCGCCTAAGCACAAATATTAACCAATAAGATTTTTGCAGTGTTGGAATTTAATAAAAACAACTACATGAAACAATAAATGCATTTCTTTCTTTTTTTTTTTTTTTTTATTTACTAATTATTACGTTAATATGCGTACAATAAATATATAATTTTCCTATTAACAATATACTTTTTAAATTACATACATAATATTATCAATTTAATAAAAATATTTTAAATAAAGTTAAAGACCATATGGAATGCCCCCCATAAAAAAAATTAAAACGACAAATTGTAATATAACAGTTTTTGATATTTAATTTAAAATAAATAAATTAATTTAATTCAAAAACATAGAAAAATAAATATGAGGATTTTAAATAAATTCTTGTACTTACATACATATGTATATAATTATTGATATTATTATTATTATTATTACTTACAATCTTGATTATTATTTTTATTATTAAACAAACAGGAAATATGTTCTAGAAAAAATTTATAAAAAATTGATAGATTTTTGAGAAATTATAAATAAAAATTAAATAGGAAACGAACAAGAAAAAAAACAAAAGATTTTAATTAAATTTGTAAACAATACAAAATAAACTATAAAATGTATCTGATTTATAATTATCTGTAAAAATACAATAACAATATATATATATATATATATATAAATTCACAATGTACAAAATATTATATGTATTTGATTTTAAATTATTACAATGATTGATTGTTTTATTTCTATTGATTATTATAATATTGATTGATTTTAAAATAAATATAATCATCAAATTATTTACATTATATTTGAATAGTAGCAATTTCATAAATAAAAGAAAGAATGATTAAAATGTGAAAAGAACAATAAAATAAAAAACAATGATTTAACTAAAAATTAAACGTATCTTAATATTATTAACAATTACTTAATTTAAATAAAAATTTAAATTATTTAACATAAAATATAACTACTACTAAATAAAAGTTTTTAACATTTTTATGTGCTTTATTTTACCCAAATTATTTAAAAAAATAACGGAAAATTGCAATGAGATTCCGGTTAAAACGGAAGTAAAAAATATTTAAAATTAATATTAATGTATTTGGTTGCTTTTTATTACTATTAATAACTAATTAAAAGGTTTAATAACTAATTAAAATTTTATTATTAACACCGTTTTCAACATTTTCAATAAAATGGATAATTTCATTCGTTTTGTTTTATGATTTTTAAAAATCTAAGAATTTTAGGCTAAATAAATTCAAATATTAAATTGAAATTTTCTAAATCAGAAAATAAAAATTATTTTACATAATTTTTATTTTTATTTTATAGAATTTAGAACAAATGTTTTTAAATATACATAGTATTACAATTTTAATTTTTGCCTGATTTATCAGTTAATTGGTATCAAATATTGTGTGCTTGTCAGCATATAAACCCGTATCTGCATTCAAAAAAAAAAAAAAACAAAAATACAGCTAAAATTAAAACCAGAAATTTAAACCGAAAAACTAAACTAAATATTTCAAATTTTGTTTTTAAAATGTAAATAAATTGTTATTGTAAACCAAAAAAACAATAAATTAGTATTGCATGATAATTAAAAATTAGATTCTTCTTAATTTTTAATAAAAGTTAAATTTTTACCAATTCGGAGATTTAGTAATAATTTGCCATTTAAATTTTAAAGTTTACTTATAAAATTGATATGAATTTTTTTTTTTTTTTTTTTTACTATAAAATTTAAGTCAATAAAAAAATAAAATTATGTTCATTTTTTTTTCAAATTTCAAATGGGCAAAAAATTATAAATTGGCACCGTTGAAATTCCAAGGCATAACAGGACCACTGGCTGACATTTTTAAATTATCATCCATTTCTCCTGTTCCATTTGGCATTTTTAACAATTCGATACTTCTACCATTTTCCAATATTTTTAAAAGTTCTAAATTCCTTAAATGAGAATTGTGAATATTTTGCAAGTTTCTCACGGGTAAATTATTTGAATTATCACCATTATTACTTATAATATTTATTACATCTCCTTTATTATTAGCTGTTTCTTTTTCTTCAAATTTTTGCATATGAAATTTCTCAGTTGTAGATTTAAGTAAATTAGAAGAATTTTCCGTTTCAAAAACTGTAGAATTAGAAATAATATTTGGATCTTTATTGTGTACGATTCCCATGTGCTTTTCCAATGATTGAATTTTGTCAAATGTTCCATTACATAGTTTACAATTTTGAATTTTTTTTTTCTGTTGACGAGTTGGTCCCACTAAATTTGGATCGTGAATCCGTTGGTGTGCAACGAGGTTGTACCTAGAAAAAAAAAAAAAAAAAACATTAACTTTATTTTGAAAAATAATATATATTAATTTTAAATAAATGAAGTTTAAACGTTAATATTAAAAAACGTACAAATTATAATTTATAAACTTACCAATATTCTGATGTTATAAAATTTGGAAAATTTTTAACAAAGTAAACGAATACGTATAGAAAAAATAAATATTAAATGAAAAATTTCTTTTTTATTAAATAAAAATAAAAAGTTTGCATTCACTTAAAAAAAATTATTGAGATTCATGGTTTAAATTTTTTTTAGAAAATTTTAAATTTTGAATTTTCATAATTGACAATGGTAAAAATTAATTATAACAAACATTTATTAAAAAATTCAAAAGTTTTTTTGTCTAGATTACATATGTCTATTTTAAATCTATTTAATTAAAACAAACTTTTAGAAAAATTTTTCTTTTCTCCTCTATAAAAATATTGTTTGTTGAACTTAAATTTAAAAGATGAATTAAAGAAAAAAAGAGCATGCTCAAGTTCCCTACCTCTCAGCAAAAGATTTGCCGCAAATTGTGCAAGAGAATGGTTTTTCTCCTGTATGAACTCTTGTATGTCTCCTAAGATGGCTTTTACTGAGTAGGCCCATTCCACAAATTTGACACTTGATGTTTCTAATTCCAGTATGAGCTAAACTATGCATGCTAAAACTTGTGTGATGAACAAATCTTTTTCCGCATAGTTCACACTATAAAAACAAAAGAAAAATTTGAGGGAAAACCATTTAAATTCTCACCTTTCCGCAAATGCTTTTCCGCATGTCTGACATTTGTACGGTTTTTCTCCCGTATGTATTCTCATGTGACGTCGAAGATGACTTTTGCTAAGTACTCCTAGGTTGCAAATTTTGCACCGAATATTTCGAATACCTGTATGAGCCATTGTATGAATAGAAAAAGATGTCCGATGAACAAAACGTTTTCCACACAATTCACACTACAAAATAAATCAATTTAAAATGCTAAACAATTTAAAAAAAAAAAAAAATTATATTCGTTACTCACTCACTATATACTGAAAATAGAGATAGTGATTGCAGTATTTTAAATTTAAAATGCATACCTGACAAATCAATACCTTATTTTTAATGAATAAAAAGAAACGAATATTGTTATCATTTTTTTATAACGACAAAAAGAAAAAATTTTCAAAAAAATATTAAAATATTACATTACAATAATAAATAATTTTTTAAAAAGGCCCTTCGGTCTCCATGTAACTTATAAAATCATTTGCAATTGACAAATTTCAAATTTCTCTTAAAGTACTAATAATGAAGTTAATTATGTATTTAAAATTCATTCATAGTGATTCAATTTCTCAAAATTACACCAAACTAAACAAAAATACAAAAAAAAAAATTTTAATTTTAACAATTATGAATTTTTAACTAATTTTAAAACCCTTTTTTATTACATTTACATGTAATCACTGCTTTAAAAAATGGTTCATTAATGTAAAAAAAAACTAATTTTACAACTCTTCCAACAATATTATTTTAACATTGATAAAAATTTCTATGTATCCATAATAAGATTCTTTTTTTTTTTTAAAAAAAATATCAACAATAAACATTTTTTAACCTACTTGATAGGGCAGATCTCCCGTGTGAATGGGTAAATGTCGTTGTAAAGCTCCTTTTTGTGTAAAAGCTTTTTGGCAATAAGAACACTGATGATGATAAATACCTCTGTGCATACCAACATGAACATCTAAAGCAGGTTTATGCTTGTAGGCCTAAAAATAAAACTTATTAAAATTTCGCCATCATTTGTAAAGTTTTTTTTAATTTAAACTGTTTTGAAATAAAAATGATGATGTCTTTAAATTAACTTAATTTAATCGCATACCTGGCCACAAATTTCACAAATATAAGGTCGAGCATCCGAATGTGTGATTTTATGAGCATTTAATTCTCCTTTTGTTTTCCACATTTTACCACAAACATCACATTTAAATTTTGGTTCTTTTATAGTAACTGAAAATATTTCCTCTTCTTTTTCACGTTTAATTTTTAAAAAAGACAAAGGATACTTTTTTGATTTATGCTTCGTTCGCTCAGGCACTTGAGTTTTTTCTGTTGTATCCGTATCAGGTTTGTCAATTACTTTGGAACTCTCCTTTAAAAAAAAATACATGTATAAAATAAACACCTAAAAGAATACTTGATATGTATTAAGTACATTATTAAAACATAAATAAAAAAAAGAAAAAAAAAATGCGGTGAATTCACAAATGTATAAACAATTTATTTATGCATTTATTTTTTTAAATTATCAAGTTCCTTTTAAACTAATGCATAAAAAAGGTATATAATATAAGGGTAGAAAATTACCAGATATTTTTTACAATCTCTGGGATCCCTATTTTCAACTATAAAAGAATTAAAATAATGAATTTTAATTTTTAATTGATAATATATAAATACTTCAGAGTAAAAAAACATAAATTACCACAAATTTATGTTCATATTGAACCTTCAGTATTTAAGATTCCTGAAAGAGTAGAATTCAGATATTAGATAAAAAGGTACTACCCTTAACTACCCTTAAAAAAAATATTCAATTTTTAAACACAAATTGTTGAATTACTTATTTGAAATATTTTTAATTAGTAATTATTCGTTTTGACACATTTTTCAGCCTTTTTGGCTAAAATGCTCTTAATACGATACTTGAAACAAACAAGAGGAAACAAAAATTTGCCAAAAATTTATCATTGTGGCGTTCAATGGGAATTTCTAAGTTTCCATACTTTTTTTCGTATAATTTAATTAAATGACCTAAAATAATTTTATTAAAATTTTTTTTGTAATAAAAAGTAAATGAAAAAAATTTACTTTATTTTTTAAGTCGTTTTCGGCTGATCTATTGAATAAAATTTTATAATTCTCTTCGGTTTCTTTTTTCTCTTTTTGAATTTCGGTTCCAAACACGTCACACGATTTTTCAAAAGGTTGAACCCCATCCTTATGAAATAATTTTTTTTTTTTATCACGGGTATCCTGTTTTTCAAACGATATATTCTAAAACACATCAACTATACTTCACAATAATTCTGTTTGATATTAAAAATAATTAAATAAAATATTCTATTTAAAAAAACATAATAGATAGTACTTATTTTAAAATTCAAATGCGGCAAATTAATCATTCAAATTAAAATTATAGAAATAAAGTCTACAAAAAAACATTTTTTGCCGAAAAGTTTTTTTTGTAATCTTTTTTTAAAATTCTTTTCTTTATAAATTAATTTTTTTTTAAGGTTTATAATTAAGTTGTAATTGTCTGATTACGAACCTTTTTAATTCTTTCATGAATTAATTGCTTTCTTCGTTCAGCTAAAGGAAGTTCATCTTCAGAACTGTAGGATTGCTCAAAGTCTGATGAGCATTGTTTTTCCTCTTCCCTTAGTTTTATATTTTCTGACTTTGGTTTCGTATGAATATTTTCATTCTTGCTCTTTGACTCATTAGAATTTATAAAAAAATGTTCGTCCAATTTTTTCGTATCATTTACGTCAATTTTATGTGTTTTTAATACGTGATATACGGATCCAGTCTTAGATTTAAGTTTTTTACCACAATATTTACAAATAAAAGGACTGGTACAATTATGAGACATCATATGTTCTTTCACTTCACACGGTCTCCTAAATTTTTTATTACAAATACTACAGAAGTGGAATTTTTTTTTCCCTGTAGAAGATAATGAATCTTTAACTGAATCTTCACTGTTTATCTCCAGGTGACAAACCATGTGACGGTTAAGCTCTGACATCTAAAATTGAAAATTATTATTTCCTTAATTTCCTTCATACAAATAAGAAAAATTGCTGCAAAAAATTTATTTGTTTTCAAGAAACATAATTTAAAAAAATAAAAAAAGAATGAGAAATAATTTAAGTTTTGTCAAAAAATTGAACTTTTTGTGATAGAAAAACATGCAATAAAATATTAATTAAAGTATGAATTAACCTTTTTGAACCATTTTCCACATAATTTGCATGATTCAGGTTTTTTATTCCATTTTGCAGAACCTTCACCAGTTAAATGAGGATCATCATCAAAACTGAATTTTTCTTCTGATTTCTCTATTTCTTCCTCAGAAGTAATAATATTAGAGCCATGATTATCAGTTAAACCTATCAGTTAAACATTATTAAATCAATTAGTTTTTTTTTTACCTTAAAAAAAATTTGAAAACTAACTTATATGTTTTTTATTGTTAATATTAATATGTAAAATTACACAATATATATAAAAGTATAAATGTACTTCATATAGACAATTAAATAAAGATTAAGAAAATCTATATTAAATTTTTCAAATTTTCTATAGGACATTTTATAATTAATTTATTAGCAAATATTTTACTCTGCAAATAGTTATTATTTCACTCAAGTTGTTTCTCTTTGTTTTTTAATGTTAATGGAAGCAATGACATAGTTCAATGAATTTAAATAAAAAATGAAAAAATAACAGCAAAAATAATTGTAGCAATTCTTTTTTAAATGGCATAATGCAAAAAAAAAATTAAAAACAAAACTAGAATATTTAAAAAATAAAATACAGGTATTGCATAGTTCTATTTGATAGATGTATCTTATAGGTGTTTTAAAGGTTTTTTAGCCGAAAAAAAAAATTAAAGGTGTGTGAACAATAAATGTATTAATATTTCAATTTATCTTGCCTTTCTCATTACTATTCTTTTTCCCTTCTCCTTTATCCATATTTTCTAATTTAATTTGCAGATATCCTTGATTTTCTTTACAACTGCATTCATACACTCTATAATCTGTTTGAGTTGATAATCCTCTGATAAAAGTTTCTGCTTTTTCTCCATGTTTTTCACAAGTTTTCTTAAAAACAGCCCACAGATCTCCTTTTAATTCAACTAGTTTGCTCTCACAATAAGTTAGTTGTTCAAAATATTCAAAGCATTTTAAACAAAGTAAATTACTTCTTAAAGATAATGTACCTAAAAAAAAGTTTTTTAGAAAATTTAATAAGCTATTAAGTGCAAATAAAATTTTATTTAAAGTAATTTTGTTACATTCTGACATTAAAACTTGTTTTAATATCATAATAATTAATACTCTTTAATTAATATGAACAATATTAATTACTTACCTATATCTTTTAGAGACAAATTTTTTTCCAATGAATTAGCTAAAAGAATCCCAGAATTTGTAATAAAAGTATAAAATATAGAATATGACTGATTAATCTGTACTTCTGTATCACAAATTAAACAACATGGTTTTTTTTCAATAATTAATTCTCCCATTTTAAATAATTTTATGTAATTCTTTAAATGAGTTAGTCTGAGGGTTGAAAATTATGAATACAATTTAAGTATAAAATTGATAACAATTACATGAAGCATTTTAAATTTTTATCCAAAAAATTTAAATTATTTGACATTAAACATTGCATTTAAATTAAATACATATTATAAAATTCTATGATGCACATTTAGTTTATGTGTTCCTTATAAATGTTTTATATCGTGCGCAAAAATTCTTGATTTTTTATTTTTAAATCCTGCAACAAAAAAAAATATTAATGGCGGAATTCAAAAAACATTTTTGTGTCTGTTATACATAACATAACAAAACAAAATAAAAAGCAAAAAAAATTTTCTACATTTCTTGTTTCAAATAGTATATGAAAATATATTAATAACCTTGAAAAATTTAATTCTTCCAATAAAAGATGTCTGACTTAATCTAATGTTTTTAATAAGTTTTTAAACAACTAACTATAGAAATAATATTTAGCACTTTAATATTATTTAAAATAAAAAAGTCACAAAAATGATTAAAAAGAAGATTTTAACTTAATTTCTTATTCAAATTTTAATGGGTTACTTATTATTTTTGATTTTTTTTTTAAATTTAAACTTTTCTGAAGTTCGACTTTTTTCCCTCATTCTGTAGAGACAACTTACAAATTAATTTTCTATAATAGAAAAGGCTAGAAAATTTATGTTATCGTGTTAAATGAAAATTTTTTATTTTAATTAATTTAATCTGCAGAAATTGGTACTTATGAAGCTTACCTAAGGTATAATTTTTTTTTTTTTGTTGGTTTTTTACAAAATGAAAATTTTTTATAAATGTTTACTAATTTTTAATTACTAGTGAGAATTCATTTATTCAAAATAGAGTTTCGCTTTAAAATAATTATGTCTAATAATAACTCAACGCAATCAAAAAATGTTCCTAAGGATGCGCAAGTAATAATGTCTATTCTAAAAGACATGGGTGTTTCGGATTTTGAGCCCCAAACGATTATTCAACTGCTTGAATTTACATACAGTAAAGTTTACACTTTATACAATCATGGTTTTGAAATTTCGTAATTAATTTAGAGTCGACGTTGAATAAAAAACTAAAATTTTTTAGGGTACATCACCACTACATTGGAGGATGCTAGAGTCTATGCTACTCATGCTAATAAAAAGATAATTGACTTAGAAGATGTACAATTGGCTGTTCACATGCAATTGGATAAAAACTTCACAACACCTCCTCCGAGAGATGTAAATATCATATAATTTAAAGTATTTATTAAATCCTTTAGTTACTTATATTATGTGCATTAACTACACATGTAAATTAGCTCTTAGATATTTTAAGTTTTTTTTTTTTTTGTGTTAACGAACTGTAATCTTTATAGTGATTGTTAATCTAAAAATTTGGGTTTCTGATAAATTTCTTTTCTTAATTAGATGCTATTGGAAATAGCCAGAACCAAAAACTCGTTGCCATTACCTCAAATTCGTCCTCATTGTGGAATAAGATTGCCTCCAGATCGTTATTGTATGACTGCATGTAATTATGAACTAAGAAGTAACAAAAAGGTACTTTTTACAATTATAATGTTAAAAAAAATAATGTGAATTATTTTTATTTTGTTTTTAATTTTAAAAAAAGTTTCAATTTATAATTCAGCAAAAGTACTTCTTTTTGATGAATTATTTTTAAATTGTTATAAAATGAAATTTATTTATTTGATTTATATTGTTATTATTTGTTTTAATTTATTTAAAAATTTTTGTTTTTTCAGCCTGCAGGAAATTTAAAATCAAATACTATTTATAGTAATGCTCAGTCTAGTGTTTTTAAGCCTCAAATAAAATCAGGAATAAAGAGATCTATACAAACAATAACTAGAACTCAAACTATCACAATTCCAAAGCCTATAATTAAATTCACAACTAGCAGTAATATATCTCCTTCTGAAACAACAGGACAATCACAGCAATCACCTATTCAACCTCAAACTACTAGAGTTCAACAACAATGGAAACCGATTATTCAACAACCAGTAGTTCAAACTGTTGTAGAACTTGATGAACCTCCAGCATCACTAATAAAAAAAAGTAGTATTAGTGATGACATTTGATAATTTTTTTTTTTCTTTAAATATTATTTTAAAAGCATTAATTATAGATTTAAAGTTTTAAATTATATAAAAATATTAATAATAAACCAGGAAGAGGTTTAAGAATCATATTAATTTTTAAATATTATTTGTGGTACTTTAATTATTTTATAATTGTAGGTTAAGAGTGGGATTCCGTTAATAGTTTTTTAAAATTAAATTATTTAAAATATAATTATTTACAAACTAAATTTATTTTAGTTTAATAAAGGCAAAAAACATTGTATTTTATAATATTTATTTTTATATTTTCATTCAACAAACAGTGCGAAATAAAAATTTAGTAACTAAATAGTTACATTTTGTGGGATTAAAAAAAAGGTAGTATTCTTGAGAAGGGCATAAATAAAAATCAAAAAATTCAACTCTTTTAACTCATTAATTATTTTATTACAAAAAATAAAGGTATTTAACTTATGATAAATTTTTTATTATTGGCCTTAGTTTAGTATCTACTTTATTTATTAACGCAACCTTAAAAGCCTTTAATAATAAGATGTCCAATTTATATATATTTTAATTTAGAAATTAAGAAATAATTTTGAAACTTTTTAATCGGCAAGTTATAATTTAATCAAAAAACTAATCAAAATTTTAAAGTTTTTTTTTTATTGTAAAAAATTATTTTTTAAATGTTTTTTTTTTTTAAAATGAAAGGACTTAAATAAATTGCAGACTTCATAACATGTTTAAAAATTTCTAGACATATCTTTTTTCGACAAAAATCGAAGTACCAAAACGTCGTATTCATACGCCCATGTCACCGGCGGTGTAATGTTTACACAGTGCGCTTAACTCATGTCAAATTATTTTTTAAAGTTTTCATTTTATTTAAATACTCGTTAATAGCTTATTGCAGTTGCAGGTAAATTTAGTAATTAATCAGGGTTTTTAAATGTTATTTTCAGTAATTGAGTTCATTTTATTTCATTGGATCATTTTCAAATTTAAATATGAATTTTCTGTATATCCGCCATTTTGTTTCAATTTCTTGGCCATTAAGGCCATTGAATTAAGATTTTCCAGTGAGTGTTTTAATTTATTATTATGTCTTTTTCTTTTGATTTTTTTTTAAATTTATAGTGGTAGGTTCAAAAAAAAGAGCTAATGCCTTTAACTTATAATTTTTGTATTGGTTTATGTTTTGATGGCAAAATTAGTTAATCCCAGAATAATAATTGTATCACTTTCGTTAATGTAAAAGAATTTCTGTCGTGATTCTTTTAGTTTCCATATTACATTAAAATTAAAATGCATATTTAAAAAACAAATTTTTATTATGTATCAAATACTTATTAACTTAATGAATTATGAATTTTATTTTTTGTAGGTGTGTCACAATTTCCCCTTCCAGGAAGAATTTTTTAAACTGACAATTTTCAAATGTTGTAAGATTATTTTTACATATTTTGTTTTATTGTTTTCATTAAACGTTTTCTTATTAATAATATTTAAAAGTTATTTAAAGTATTTTTTGTGAAAGTAAAAGTTAATGTGAAGATTACAATTAAAAAATGTCATTACATGTTTAAGTAAATTTTTCATTAAAATTATACCAACAGCTACAGTTTTTTCATTTTTCTTTATCAATTTTAACTTAAATATACATATTATTGTTTTTAAAAATTGAATGAAAAATAATAAAAGGTAGTAATCAGTAAGAAAAAGATAATGCCAATTTAATTTAGGTTAAATATTCCTTGTAATATATATGAAATTTGCTTAAACAAAAATGTATATTATAAAATAAGTAACATATTTTTATTTTCAACTTCCTAATTAATACTTTGTTACAATGTACTTAATATTTAGGTGTAAAGTTATTTTTTCATTTGATAAGAAAATTGATGCCTTTATCTCGATAATATACTTTTCAATTGATGAAAAATTTTTCTTATTTTCAGGTGTTTAATAAACAAGAATTCCAGAAGCAATTATTTCAGCACTAATATTGTTTTAATTTCTTTTATTCAACACATTAAATATAATTATAAATTATTATTATATGCAGATTGAAGATTTTCATTTAAAAAAAAAAAAAAGAAAACAATAGAAATTTTAATTTAAATTTGTATAAATGTATTTAATTTTATTCAATGTACTGAAAATAAGTAAATAAAAGAGAAGTCAGAGAAAATGACCATCTCTACTCGTGGAGTAAATGAGCCTACAGAATGTAATGACCAAGTAACAAATACTGAAGTAGTAGAAGAAATTATTGAAGATGAACCTATATCAGAAATTGGAGAACCCGATTTTCCACATGACAAACTTGCAGAACTTGATACTAAGATTTCTTCTCCCAGATGGGTAGTTCCAGTTCTTCCTGATCAGGAGCTTGAATGTCTTTTGCAAGCTTCCATAGACCTTTGTAAAAAAGGTTAGTAACATATATCTACATATATGTATTTTTGTGTGTGTGTGTGTGTGTGAGTATAATACTTTTATTTATAATATGCAAGCATTTTTAAATACTAATGTTATAATACATTATAACACATTTTAGGAACATAAGTATTTATAAAAAATAATTACATAAAGGTTTTTTTTACTTTTTTTTTTTTAATTTAAAAATTAATATTTTAGTTATATAATATAAATTATGCATCCTATTTGAAAATTTTAAGAGTTGGTTCTCTGTTGATTTTTTTTATTTTATTCTTACTTAATTTAACTATTATTTATTAATTAATAGGTAATTTTTTGTTTTAAACTGTAATTTCTCAGTGTATATAAAAAAATTACTAAAATTGGGAATGATTGATTAATATTTTGTGATATTTTAAATAATTTTTAAATTGTATTGTTAAAAGCAGAAAAATAATACTTCATAATTCACAATCCAATAGATCAAATGCAGCATAAAATCTTAAATCATTTAATTTTTCTACTGCGCGTGCCTGCTTTACATTTAAAATGAGAAATAAAAATTTTTACTTTGATTTTCAAACTATTTGCTATCAGATATTAGATTTTTATATATTAGCACTATTACAAAATAAAGTGCATAATTCATATTTTAAAATTTTTTTATGTATTTTGAAATAGAAAAATTAGTTTAATGTAAATATAAATTAATTAATTTTTAATTTAAAAAATAGGAATTGATACCAGGAGTGAAGCTTGCCAAAGATTTTTTCGAGAAGGTCTTACTATTTCATTTACAAAAATTCTGACTGATGATGCAGTTAACTCATGGAAACCCAACATTCAATTATATATATATCAAAACTGTCAGCGACTTGTGGAATTATGTGTAATTAAATTAAATCAAGACTGGTTTCCACTATTAGATCTACTGGCTATGTTATTTAATCCTAACTGCAAGTAAGATTTTAATTTTTTTTTACTCTCTATTTCGACATATGTCTACTACTCAAATTTTTTTTAAAATTCAATTTTGAAATGTTTTATCGTTTTTCTTACGTCAAACTTAATTTTTTTATTAAATTTTTACAGATTTCACGTTTTTAATAATTCTCGACCACCAGAAAGTATTCCTCCAGGAATGCATATTTCTGACGAAGAAGTTTACTGTCGTCCAGTACCAGACAGTCGATTACCACGTGGATGGTTAGTCGATCTTATAAACAAATTTGGTAATCTCGGAGGATTTAAAATTCTTTTGGAAAGATTTCAAACAGGAGAAAATTTAAGTGTAGCCGTTATGTATTCTTTAATAAGACCTTTCGGGTTATGTTACGAATTGCTAACTGTTAATACTATTGTAAAATATTTTATGCCAGTTATAGTAAGTTTGAAAACTTTATTGTTGACTTTGTCTCTTCGATTCAAAGAGAGAAAAAAAAGCCTTTATAAATTGATTTTAGGAAATCATACTTCAAGTTCTTGATGGCTTAACAGATGAAGAACTAAAAAAGGAAGCCAAAAACGAACTGAAAAATGATTCAATTTCTTGCATAATTAAAGCAGCTAAATGTCTTGTTTCTCGGGTGCCTGGAAAAGAGGAAACCTCCAAAGATTTAGAAATTTTTAGACTTCGTATGATTCTCAGGTAATTTGCCAACAATAAAGGTAGAACTGAAACAGTTGTAAACTAAATTGTTTAATTTAATCTATTAAAAATTTTTTTTATTTAAATTTATGATTTTTTTTTAATTTTTCTTGTGTAACCATATTTCTAATATTTATTATGGTTTTTTTTTTTTTTTTTTTTACGTGTAACAGGTTACTTCAGATCTCGTCATTTAATGGGAAAATGAATGCTTTAAATGAAGTGAACAAAGTTATAGCCAGCGTAGCATATTATCCTCACAGACACACTCCTGTAGAGGAGGATGAATGGTTGACACCTGAAAGAATGGCGGTTAGCCGTTTGTAACAAATAAAACCTTTTTAATTAAAACTGAGTTTTTTGTTTCATTAATTTCATTATTTTTAACGAATTTTTTAGAAATGGATTAAAGACAATCAGGTTCTTGAAATAGTATTAAGGGATTCGTTGCACCAACCTCAATATGTTGAAAAATTAGAAAAAATATTACGGTTTATTATTAAAGAGAGATGTTTGACTTTAAGCGATTTAGACGCAATTTGGGCTGCACAGGCTGGAAAACATGAAGCAATCGTTAAAAATGTACACGATTTGCTAGCCAAACTTGCATGGGATTTTTCTCCTGAGCAATTAGATCATTTATTCGAATGTTTTCAGGTAAAATATGTTGTAATTTTATTTATTATTTTATTGATTTTGTTTTAAAGATTGTCGATTGTAATTGAACTTTAAGTATTAAAAAAGATTTTTTACGTCCAATAATTTAATTGAATTTTACGGCTTTTAGTCTAGTTGGACCAATGCAAACAAAAAACAAAGAGAAAAATTATTAGAACTTATTCGTCATTTAGCCGAAGATGATAAAGATGGTGTTATGGCTCATAAAGTTTTAACTCTTTTTTGGAATTTGGCACATTCGGATGATGTTCCTACTGAAATTATGGACCAAGCCCTCGCAGCTCATGTTAAAATTTTAGACTATAGTTGTTCTCAGGCAATTATAAGCAAACTAAATAATTATTATTAAATTCAAGAAATTAGCAATGTAATGTATTTATTTTTATATTATTTTGTTTTTTTTTTTAGAAAAAAGATGCTCAAAAAACTTCTTGGTTGGCAAAATGTGTTGAAGAATTAAAAAGTGGTGATAAGTGGGTTTTGCCAGCCTTAAAACAAATTCGAGAAATATGTTGTTTATATGAACAATCTCCTAACCTTAATCATAGCCAAAGATCACAACACATTTATTACAGGTTTGTTAAAAAAAATATTGTTTATTTTATAAGTACAAAAATTTTAAAATCCAAAGAAAAACTGCATGAATAAAAAATATAAAAAAAATCCTTAGTAAATCTTGATCTAAATTAGATTCTAAAATTTCGACGATTACATATTGTTTAATTACATATTATAATTAAACAGTTAAGATTATATTTATGTTGGTAAATTTTTAAAAAATAAAATTCTCTGTCTTTTTTTCTTTTTTGAATTTTTCGATGCGAAAATTATGCATTGCAATGTAATGATTATTACTTCTAACATGATTTTAAATTGCAGGCAACAAATAATAGACCGATTACAAAACAATCACTCTTTAGTCATACTAGTTTCTGACAGTTTAGAAAATTATATTGAAAAAGTTAAAAAACTAGTCAGTCATCATCCTGAATTGGATTCACAAAATTTTTGTATCGATGGACGATATTGCCATGAGTTACAAGTACAAGAACGCCTAAATTTTTTAAGATTTTTACTTAAGGTAAAAAAAAAAAAAAAAAGACTTTCTTTTCTATTATATAAAAACTACATCGAAATAGAGTTACTCGTATATTCAAATTAATAATGATAATATGTACATGTATTTATAGGACGGCAGACTTTGGTTGTGCGATAGTCAAGCCAAGCAAATTTGGAAATGCCTAGCAGAAGATGGAGTTTTTCCTTCTGATAGGGAAGCTTGTTTTAAATGGTTTAGTAAACTAATGGGTGAAGAGCCAGATCTTGACCCTACTAAAAATAGAGAGTTTTTTGAAGATAATATTCTACAGTTGGATCCCACATTATTGACTGAAAGTGGAATGAAGTAAGTAACGAACAAAATTATTTTCATTTTTAAATGTTTTCATATTTATAAAAAAAAAAAAAAATTCTTTATTTATTTATTTTTCGGAAAGATGTTTTGAAAGATTTTTTAAAACTGTAAACAAAAAGGAGGGAAAACTGATTCAAAAACACAGATCCATTGTGATGGAAGATCCTGATTTAATCGGAATGGATTATCTTTGGAGAGTTATAACTAATTCAGGGGAAGAAATTGCAAATCGGGCTATTGAAATAATGAGAGAAGTAGGTATTTATTTATTTTCATTTTTTTATTTTTATTTTTTAATGCGTTTTAAAAAGTTAATTTTTTTCTTATACATATATTATATTTAAATTTTCAAGTTGTATAGAAAAAAACCTTATTTAAAGAATTTTAAAATTTTAATTTATTTTATACAACTTTTAAAAACATACTTTTTACGAGAAACTTTAATTTTTTTTTTTTACTCTTTTTTACTTTGTTTTGTTATTACTATTTTTTTTTTTTTTTTTTTTAATAAATATCATGGTGTGAAAATTTTTAGAAGTATGATTTTGAAAATTATTTTTTTATAGGTTTGTACTAATTTAGGTTCTCAGTTAACCAGTAATATATATGAATTTCACGAAACGTATATAGCCGAGTGTTTAGATCGATTAAGAACTCATTACGATAATGTGACTCTTTTGATGAAAGAAGACATGTTAAATGACAAAGATCGAGAAGAAGCTGCTAGAATGAAAAACAGACTGAAAGATGAAGCCGTGAGAATGTGTCGTGTCATGAAAGTTTTACACGAATATATTAGCGAATGCGATAATACATTTGTAAACGAAAGAAAAATTTTACCATTACATAGGTACATTTTCTATTTAAAAAAAAAAAAAAAAAAAATGTCTATGAATTTTTAAAATATTTTCTACTTATATAAGTTTGTTGTTGTTGTTGTTGTTGTTATTAATGAAGACATTATTATTTGTATTTTTAGGGCTTACAGAGGAAAATGTATAATTTTAACTATTAGGTTTACTCATCCTCAGCGGGCTTTGGATGATATGGATATTTATACTCACACAAATGAAACCCTGGCATCGTTTAGAAGAAGTATTCTTCGCAGAATTAAAGGTTTTTTTTTCTTTAAATTATTTAATTAAGGATTTTAATATATTTTTTTTAATACTAATAAATTTAAAATTTAATTTTAATTTAGCGGGAACATCTGTAAAGGTTGAACTTGTAGTTAACGGAGATTCTCGAGAACCTATTATCCTAGCAGATGATCGAAAATTGTTGTCTCAATTACCTATTCGTGATAAAATGATAATCACGGCTAAATTATGTCAGACAAATATAAACGCTGCTTCTAGTCCGGAAACTTCTTCTGATAGTTCTACCAGTTCACCTCAGCATCCATATGATGGGCCTAATTTGGAAGCTGAAAATGTCTTACCTGGCGTGGTATGATTTAAAATACTTACTATATGTGTTAGTTATTTGAAAAAGGTTTATAAAAATTTTTATAACTGAATGATTTTCAGCTCATGTCTAGAAAAAGTATTTATGCCAAGTTTCTATTTCAACTCTCAGATTTAGGATGCGAATTACATTATCCTCCTTTGCGAGATGGTGCAAGAAATCTTTTACAGCTAGTTCCTCCTGATCAGTCTACGGTAGAAAAATTGAAACAGTTATTTGAAATTTATCCTAACAGTGAACACAGTCAAGATAATAATATTACAGTAGAAAATATTTTTTTCGATAATTCTTGCACAAAGGTTTTATACAATGTTGAAGTGAGTGAAGTAAACATTTATTTATTCACCTATTTTGAAAATTTCAATTTAAAAAAAAAAATTATTTTCAGCAATTATTTTGGTTTGTTGTATTTTGCAAAAAAAAATAAATAAATGATAAAACTTGCTGACAATTTCAAGTCGGAGTTTTTTCAAAAAAAAAAAAAAAAAAAACGAATTTGTTTTAGGTCATGTACTCATTATTGATGCCTGCTTCAGATCCAATGAGTGCTGAAGCATTTGAATTTCAATACAATTTTGTAAAAAGTGGCCATGCTCCAATTGTTCTTGAAATGCTTACTAAAAATAATTTTCTACCAAATGCGGATGTTGCTACCAAAAGGTTATTTTTTAATTTAATTACAACAATAAATTATTATAATTTTTAACAAATTACATTTATATAAATTAAATTTTAGATCTGCGTATGTTACCATTTTAAAAATGTGCAAATTACTTTTAACGGTCATTGGCCACGTATTAGGACGAGTTCCTTTTGATGATTCATCACAACCACACGATCAAGGAGGTTCTGATGGTAATCCGATTAATTCGCATTCTCCAACTAGTCATGCTTCTCCTTCTGGTCTTCTTCGTACCCTTAATTCTGTTTTTAATCAGGGTGTAGAGCTTATGATTAGAAATGTTGCAAAAAAACTTGCTGCTTATATTGATGAGCAAGTAAGAAAAAATATTTAAAACTTTATATTATGTTTAAAAATTTATTGTGTTTAAAAAAAAAACTTTTATTACTTTGTATTTGTAGCCTCAAATAATAATGGAAAGTAAAGCGGGTCAAATGTTTCTAAGTGCAAGATCCTGGGAACTTCCTGATACAAATACAGTTCGAGCAGTCATGAGATTAGCCTGGGCAGCTAGCACTGGATCACTTTCATGTCTCCATAGTCCTCACGAAATGCACAATTCTCACCTTTTAGGCAAAATTCCAGATCCGGATGATGTCGTGTTGTGCCGTGAAGCTCTTCAAGTTCTCACCGTTTCTCTCGTGTTGAATTATAAAGTGATGGATAATTTTATTAAGGATCCGCTGTGGCATACGTTTATTATAGATCTGTTGTTATTAGCCAAGAATAGGTTTGTTTGTGAATACTTGAAAAATTTTTTAAAAACATTGATTTTGATTATTTAAATTTAAATTAACAATTTTTTATCTGTAGGGTTGTCCGAAGTTCTGCTTCAGATCAATTTTTATTGATTTTATACGATAGTGCACAACAACCACTTTTGTTTTGTATTTCATTGCTCTTCTCTCAGCTTAACACTACCGTCATAGCAAATTGTAAAAATTCTTCGGAATATTTTTTGGTAAGATTTTACAATAGTGAAATAGGAAGATATTTTAATTTTCTTTAATTTTTTTTTTTTTTTGATTTAAAATAATTTAATTATTTTAACATATTTAAGTTCTAAAATTACATGTGAAATATAATAATATTAATGAAAAAAAAGTAAAAAAGCATTATGATTATATTATTTTTTTCAGATAATAGGAAAACACTAAATATATACTTTTTTTTGTTTTGTTTTAGCTTTTGTGCAGATTAATTAATTATGCTTTAATGACAGATTGCCCCGTACCAAACGCCGAAATACTATTAGATAATGAAATAGCTTGGCTAAAAAAAATAAAGGAAAACGTTAAAGAAACAGGGGAAACTCAAGTAGAAGAAGCTGTACTAGAAGGGCATTTAAACATTGCCAAAGAATTGATGGGATTCTTGTCTCCAGAAAAAAAATATTTGCTTGGCAGCAGTGAAAAGAAAGGACTATGTTTCATTAAAGTTAGTATTTGTAATATAATTATATTATTTTGAATAATTTTATTCTAATTTTAAACGTTAAACTTTATAGGAAATATTAGAGGATTTTATTTTTCCCGCAAGTAAACTTATGCTTCAGTTTTTAAAAACTGGTGATTTGGTTTGTGAAAATGCAATACCAGTGTGTAATACTCCGTGTACAGAAAATGCTGCCTTTGATTTATTAGTTGCACTTTGTATGGGTTGTGTACCAAATATGAAGTTATTAGTTCATATGCTTACTGAAATGTTTTATTCCGGTAAGATTAATTATAAATTTTTTTTTTTTATTTATAAATTTAACTATTTTTACCGTGGGTATTTTAATTAGGCTTATATGCCTGAACGTAATTTTAGAACGTGAAAAACCTCTGACAGAATGGGATTATATGCCGCCTATAGGACCGAGACCCCCAAAAGGTTTTTGTGGTTTAAAAAATGCTGGAGCCACATGTTATATGAATTCGGTTCTTCAGCAATTGTACATGGTTGAAAGTATTCGTGTTGGGCTTTTAGCCGCAGAAGGAGCAGCAACCGATTTAAATGAGGATTTCAGCGGGGAAGAAAGGTTGGAAACTGAGGTAATAAAAACACGTTGTATTTTTTTTTGAAATTTTAATCTAAATCTCGAGGTATGATGGTTTTGGGCCCAACAAAAGTAATAATTGAACCTCCTACTCCCTCATATTTTTACTTTAATTAAAAATAAATTTTGCATTAAATAACTCTTTATAATTTTTTTTTGCTTGTTATTTCGTTTCTGAATAGAATACGGACGTTGAACATATAGATGGGGATTCGAATGATGATAAAGGAGGAGTGGACGAATCTAGAAAAGAATACAATATTGGAATATTAAAACAAGTTCAGGCTATTTTCGGTCATCTTGCTTATAGTGAACTTCAGTATTACGTGCCGAGAGGACTATGGAAACATTTTAAGTATGAATTTTAGAAATTTTTTTTTTTCTTTTAATTTCATGCGATAATTATTTTTTTGCTTTTTTTATTGGTGGGAAAAAAATCAAATAAAAAATCGAATCTTTGTTGGCAATGCCTCGAAATTATATCTCTATATATTCTAATGTCAAAATGCAATATTATTCTTTTTTTAAGTAACTTAACGTTTTTATGCAAGTTTTTAAAAAAAACGGAGCCCAATAATGTCAAGTGTCATTATATACCTTTAACTATTTTCATAATTTAAGATTGCAAGGGAAACCTGTAAATTTACGTGAACAACAAGATGCCGTTGAGTTTTACCTTAGATTGGTAGAAAGCTTGGATGAAGCTTTAAAAGCTTTAGGACAAGAGCAAATTATGAGTAAAGTTTTAGTCGGATCGTTTTCTGATCAAAAAATTTGTAAAGGATGTCCACATAGGCAAGTATATAATTTTAAAAAATTGCATAGCATTGTTTAATTATGTTATGACTAGCCGGTAATTTTCTTTTTTTTTTTTTTCAGGTACTTCAAGGAAGAACTTTTCTCCGTTATCAATGTAGACATTAGAAATCATTCATCATTATTAGATTCACTTGAACAATATGTTAAAGGTGAATTATTAGAAGGAGCGGATGCTTATCACTGTGATAAATGTAATAAAAAGGTAAATGAAATAAATTAAAAGTAAACATTCAAAAAAAAAAAAATTTTTTTCCCCGTTTAGTATTTTAAAATGTTTTTTTTTTTTTTTCAGGTGGTTACGGTAAAAAGACCGTGTATAAAAAAATTACCCCCCGTTTTAGCTTTTCAACTGAAAAGATTTGATTATGATTATGAAAGAGAATGTGCCATTAAATTTAATGATTATTTTGAGTTTCCTCGAGACTTGGACATGGATCCCTACACAGGTAATAATATAATATATATATATATAAATATAATAAAATATATTTTTTTATTATTTATTTGAAAAAAATTTTTTTTTTTTTTTTTAATTAGTGTCTGGATTAGCTAAACTTGAAGGTGAATTAATAGACTGTGATTACGATGAACTATCTAAAGAAATGTGCACAAAATATCAATTAACCGGTATTGTTGTGCACAGTGGTCAGGCTAGTGGTGGTCATTATTATTCCTACATTTTGCATAGGTTAGTTACTCGATTTATAAATACAATTGTTAATTTTTGCATTTAAGTAATAAATCTAATAATAATTTTTTTTTTGTCAATTTCAGGCAATCCGACGGAACTTCTAAATGGTACAAATTTGATGACGGAGATGTGAGTGAATGTAGAATGGAAGAAGACGAAGAAATGAAAAGTCAGTGTTTTGGTGGAGATTATACAGGTGAAGTTTTTGATCACATTATGAAAAGATTGAGTTACCGAAAACAGAAAAGGTGGTGGAACGCCTACATGTTATATTACACGAGATTAGACGTAAGGTCTAGCAACACATCATTTTGTGAGTATAATAATAATAATATCAATGTTTACTTAAATTATAATTATATTATTTATTTATTAATTGTTATATTATTATTTTTAGCGGATTTGAAAAAGAATACAATGAAAATGCCTCTTGTAATAGAACAAGGTGTTCGTCGCCAAAATATTGTATTTATGCATAATAGAAATCAATTTTCTGCCGAATATTTTCAGTTTATAAAAAAAATAGTTTCTTGCAACAGTTCATTATTGAGACTTCATAATGATAAATTGGTAAGTTTTATATATGTAATTGTAACACTTATCTATATTCTAAATTATTATGTAAAAATGAAAATTTATTATTTTAATGTAAATAATTGAATATAATTATTATTATTATTATTATTATTTTGATGTAGACGTTAGATTCAGAAGAACTATCTATGTTAAGTGTACAGTTGGCATCAAGGTTTTTATTTCATACTGGATTTCATACGAAAAAAAGCTTGAGAGGAGCGGCTTATGATTGGTACGAAGTGTTGTCCCAACATCTTCGGCATTCAGCTTCGGTCAGGCTTTGGTTCGCTAAGGAAATCATATTTCAACATCCTTATAGGTAATATTAATAATTATAAAATTGAATAATAGGCATTTTATTCGATAGTTGTAAGAAAAAATTTTAAAAACTTAATTAAGTATATATATATATATATAGTTTTTATTATTATTTTAAAATTAAATAATAATTAATTGTTAAAAATTTCGATTTTAACTATTTTTATTTTTTCTAGATTATCCGAGTATTTGTTGAATTCACCGAGCACAGAAGTTCGAGCTGCTTTTATGAAAATAATACTTTTTCTGGCTCATTTTTCTCTTCACGACGGTCCTTGTGATTCTCTAATTTATAACGGAAAGAGTAAGTTCAGCTCACTCAGTTAAAAATAATAAAAAATAATTAAAAGTTAATTAATTTATTTTTTTAAATAAATTTTCAGGTAAAAATATTGATTCAAACTTTAGTTTAAGTGACCATTTACTACATGCTCTTATATTATTATTAGATAAAGATATTGCAGACCACGGAAAACATTCTGTGCATTATTTTACTTTATTTCAAATGTATGCTCAATTGGGTCTTGAGGAAAAAGCTCAATTACTTCGAGTAAGTAAACATTTTTATTTTCTAAATTTTTGAAGAAAAAAAAAAACAATATTTTTTTTTTTTTTAGCTTAACGTAGCTAAGATATTTATAAATGTGGCCTTAGAAGAAGGTCCTATACCCGCCATTAAATCTCAATATTTTGATTGTACGAAACTTCATCAAGTAGTATCAATGTTAGTTAGGTGTTGTGATTTAAGCACGAGTACTCAAAATTCAAATGCTTCTGTACAACCCCTTCCCAATCCGTATTGTGATCCGCAGTGCTCTTCATCTTATTTAATGCCTATACAACCAGATGTTGCTGAACTTTTATTCGGTAAAGTCGGGTAAGTTTATTAAAATATGATTTTTTAAAAAATAAATTTTTTTGTTGAACTTTAATTAAAATATTTTAATTTTCCGTAGATACGCAAAAAAATTAATTGATAATCCTAGTCCATCAGAAGATATAGTAAAATTGATACAATTTTGCACGTGGGAAAATCCAATTTTTTCTAAAAATCTTTTAAGTGAAACCCTTCGACAAATTGCTTGTACCATATATCAGGATTTGAAACATTATTTAGATTGGCTCCTTCATTTATTATTAATCGAAGACTCTTGGCAAACGCACAGAATTCACAACGCACTTCAAGGTATGGCCGATTCAGATGCAAAAGAAGGCTTGTTTGAAATCGTTATAAAATCAAAAACTCACTATCAAAAAAAGGCTTATCAGTGTATTAAATACATGACGACATTATTCTCCAAGTGCAGAGCCGCTCACGTGTTGTTAACGAGTACCGAAGAAATACGACGTAAATGGTTACACTGTAACGAGTGTTTTCCGTTTCCGGCTAACGTTCAATACAGTTGCGATAATTGGTTATTGTCAACTAAAACCAATGACTCTGCTAACGGGTATTTCCCCGAAAGATCGAATAGTGCTAGAAAACTTTTAGTGCACTCTGTCGAACTTTGCCCCCAAGATGAACCCGAAGTCGAAGAAGTTTCGGAAGAGGGTGAAGGGTTGCAATCTTTGGAATGGAAGGGCCTTGTAGTTTCTAAGTATTTCGGTAATCAGTCCAAAGATAGGCGTAAAAACAGAGTTCAAATTAGAAAAATGGACGAAACTTCCGAAGATGGCATCGCATCCATCGTGGAAATGCAACAGCGTTCATTTAAACCCATTAGAAGAGAAAATAATCAGCGAAGATCCGATCCGAATGCAGCCGATTCGGGAGATGAAGAATTTGCTTGGTTTTGCGGTATGAATAAACGTATGTCGAGTCCAAGCGATTTGCCTCAGTCGCTATCGCGGCACTCTTTAACCGACGTTGCACTCGTACAAGAAACTCAGGTATCATAAACATTTTAATTTCAATTTAATTTATGAAAAAAAAAAAAAAAAAAAAAATTAATAATTACTAATTGTTATGATTTTCTCCTCTCTCCCCCCCCACCTATCTTTTTTAAGGAAAGATTTACAGATAATTCGGTGAAAGAATCTTTAGAAGAAAGGCAAGAACTAGTCAATAATGAAGAATTATCAATGACTACAACAACAACAACAACAACAACAATGGATAATAATAAATCTAATTTGGAAGAGACTTTGGGACATATGACCCTAGAAGAACTTGATCAACCAAGCACCTCGGCAGAGTCATAATTATAAAAATTGTTTCTCTCCTTTATGTTTTTTTTTTTTTTTTTCTTTTTTTTTTTTCTTCTTTTAAAATGATACACTACTTATTACTTAGGTGATATACTCTTAAAATAATTTGTTCTTAATTTTTTTGTACAACGGTTGATGATAATTATTTTTGTCATTTTTTGTTACAGTGTAAAGACACTTGAGATTCGATATTATTTGAGCCTCAGGAGTTAAAAAAACATTTTGTGACATTTTAGTTTCGTTTTTCTAACGTAATCAATTATAAATGAATTGTTTTTGTTTTATACATTAGACTTTTTTTATAATTATGAATATTATTAATTTCGTATAACCGCCGCATAAATCCTTTTAATAAGAAATTTTTTGAAAAAAAAAAAAAAAAAAAAAAACATGTGTTTTATCGAAACTCAAAAAAATTATATATATTAAATTAAAAAATTATTAATAAGACAAGGGTAAAAAAAGAAAAAAAAAAATTCAAATTTATTTCTTTCATCATTAATTACAATTTTCTGTTTTTTTTTTTATATTAACACTTATGCCTGCCTAAACCGCCTTTTTTAGTACAATGATTGATTGATTAATTTATTTTTAATAACTTTAACATGTTCTTTTTCAATATCTGAGCTAATAAAAAAAAAAAATTTTTTTTTTTTTTTTTTCAATTTCTATGTAAAATTGTGTGTTTATAAAAGTCAACAAACTAAATTAACTTAATTTTTTTAATTATTTGTTTTGCCTTATTTGAGCGTATCGTATTAAGATATTTCATATATATATATATGGATATTCATAAACGTGAAAAATCCTCTTTTGTATGGACATTTAGAAAATCACTTTTTTTTCATTTTTATAAAATTAATCGATTCGTTAACATTTAAAATGTTATGTAGTTTGATAATATTTTACACAATAACATAATTTTTTTTTTATTTATTTAATTAAAGTACTTTTAAAAGTTAAATACGAGGCAATAAACGCTTGAAATTTTTTAATATAATTAAGGGAATTTGTTCATCGATTTGTGGAATTTAAAGTTTTATGATTATAATTATTGATTGCAGCGTTTAAGAATTTAATTTTCAATTTTATATCTTTTCTTAGAAAGTTTTTTTAAAACATTTTAAGATTTATATATATATATATATAGTTGAAATAAATTCTTTTACCTCTTAGGCTTAATATACAAAGTAAAACGTTTCTGTCATGCTAAGCTTTAACGATGATTACAATTTCCGAAGATCTAAAACAAAAACCTAAAAAAAAAAATAAAAATAAATTAATTACATCACGAGTTTTTTTTCCCCCCAATTGTTTAAATCTTTTAAAAATGGAAAATTTGTTTTCTTACACTTCCATCAGATGCACTAGCACCAACTTTATCTCCTCTGGAATTCCAACAAACTTCGAAAATACCGCCCGTACCTTTATAAGAATGCACTAATTGCCCACTCTGTAATAAATACCATACTAATTAATAATAATACATTAAGGCAATATAGTTTTATATATTAAAACACATTTAACTAACATTAATCTATTAAAATTAACTGTAAATAATTATTTTCACATTTTATATTTTCTAGCATAAAAATGAAATTGATCATAAATGAATAATAATAATAATGTTTTACCTGCGTAGACCATATGTGAACACATTTATCAAAACTTCCAGAAGCTAAAAATTTACCATCTGGGCTAAATGCAACACTATAAACAGGTTCTGTGTGTTTAGTCAGAGTATGAATGCACACTCCTCGATCAACATCCCACAATCGAACAGTTGAATCAAAAGAAGCACTGCAGGTAGTATGAAGAAATAAGGTAATTTTCTTTTATTTTGAAACACAATTCACTTATTTAATTTTATATCTACCTAGCCAATATTAAGTTAACATTGGGATTTGCTGTTCCAGGTCCAGTAGGAGACCATTTTATTGTGTAAATCTCTTTCGAATGGGCTTGAAGATCATGAACGCAAGTGTCCTGTTTCATACTCCAGATTTTTAATGTCATATCATCTGAACATGATGCCAATAAGTTGCCTTGAGGATCCCATTTAATAGCATTCACTTCGTTCTATAACAAAAAAAAAAATGGGCATCCAAAGTTAATTTACTGACTTTTTTAAAAGTAAAAAATGAAAAAATAAAAATCAATATGTACTGTATGTCCTTGAAAACTTTTGATTGGCTTGTCTACATTTAATTTACAAACGTGTATGCATTGATCAGTAGAACAAGAAGCAAATGAAGTGTTTGTCTGCCAATCAACATCTAAAGCTGGAGCAGAATGAAATGAGAATTGCTGAGTACATTGTCCAGAAGCAGCATCCCATATAATTGTAGTCTAAAAAAACCGGTAAATATGAGTAATCCTATTTATAAGATTAATGTGATTATATTTGTTAGTAGCATGTAAATTACAAACCTTGTCCACTCCAGCACTCAATATGTAATTTCCCCTTTTATTCCATTTCAAGGCAAAAATTGGACCTTTATGTTGTCCTAAGGTACTGGCTAATCTACCATCAGTCATCCAAATTCTAGCATAACCATCATATGATCCAGTAGCAAGTAATGTTCCATCACACTAAAAACAACCAATTATTTTCAATCGTACTAATTATAAAATCTAGTCATTACAAGTTTTTATACAATCAAATTTTTTTTTGATAATTTTACTAACATTCCAATCCAATGATGTAACATCTTTATTTGAGGGAACCTCTGTTCCACCTTTTTGTATACAATGCCTCAAAACTAACTGATTAGGAGCAGCAGAATTATCAGACATGTCCCATATTCTTGCTGTACTATCACCAGATCCTGAAGCTAATAGATCAGTACTAGGATTCCAAGCACAAATGAATACTTCACTCTCATGGCCTCTTAAAACAGTTGCTTTTGAAGGGGGAATTTCTATACTTCCATCCACATCCATATTTTCAGATTGATTTGAAATAACTATGTATATTTAAAAAAATTAATATGAAAAAACATGAAGAATAAGAGTTCCATGTAAAAAAAAAGATAAAAATAGGTTTTAAAATAATAATTGCTAAATTATAAGATTCTTACTTTCTTCTCCATTTGCATCTGGCTCTGTTTTAACTATTTGTTTTTGTTGGTTCTGCTGATTTTGTCTTGTAGCAACTACATCTGGCATAACAGCGTCAATCAATGACAAACTCTCCACTAAACGTTGTTCTGTGCCATCCTGTAAATGACAACAATTAAATTTATTAAATTTAATAATAAACATATAAATAATTGTAATTATAAATTTTTTTGAAAAATAATGTAAGGCAAAAAAAGTCAATCAAACCTCTCCAATACTAATTTCAGCTTCAGTGTACAAGAGCCCCTTTTGCAAAATGCTAAGCAGAGCTGCCGGAGGGACAAGAGCTCCATTTATATTAGACTGTGAAATATGAGATTCTATGCCAAAAGTGTAGGCTGAATGCTGAAACCCTAAAAATCGAAAGAAAGAACCGTGTAGGAAAAATTTAATAATAATTTATTTAAAAGAAGTAAAATTTTTTAATATTAAGATTGAATTATAATTTCAGAAGTTATAGTAAACAAATATCACAAGTGAATAACTTTGTCTTAAAACGAGGCAAAAAAAAATTAAAATTTTTATTTACCTGATTCTTGCAAATAACGATAAACTAAAAAATTCACTTCATCGCTAGAAAAACTCATTTTGTACTAGGCATTAGTTTATTAAATAATTTAAATTTTCGTATTAAGTTGTTTAAACAAAAATCCGAAGCCGTATTCAATCATAACACATGGTAAAGTTGGCGACAAAAATAAAGCTTTGACACCCTGCAACACATTTTAGGTAGTTTATGATCTTACAAAAAGTTAAATTTTAAAGAAATTAAAATTATTAAATTAAGTTTGTAAATAATAAATTAAAATAAAATTATTCAATATGTAGGAACGAAATAAATTTTTATTACTTTAAAAAAAAAAAAAAGTTAAAAAATGTAGGTTAAAAAAAATTTTTCAGGGAAAAATTTCGCTCTTTTTTTAATCATTTTAAATCTAGAGTGTCAATATCTTTAAGATAGTTTTATTCGCAGAAGTTTTTTTTGTGTGTCATTTTTTTCTCAGTTTTAATGTGGAATTATTAACGTAGTAGTCATATCATAATGTTATTATTATTATGGTGTATTTTGAAAAATCTTTTTTGTGGACAATTAAACAGGTAAATATGAAAAATTCATTTTTTTTACTAGTCCTATTTAAAACTTATATTTTCCAATTTTAATTTGTAAATTTACGATTCCGGTAACGAAGTAAATATAGTTAAAATTATTGTTATAAATAATTAATTTAAATTGTCATTTAATATTTAAAAATGATGAGGTTCAAGTAAAATTTTATTATATATTTTGTAATTTTTAACTTTATTTAAAAAATTTTTTAACTACAAAGTTCTTAATGATAATATTCAGAATTAAATATATGAGTAAAATAAAATATAATACATTATTTTTAATACATTTAATTATTCTTGAAATTTAACTAAAATTGTATTTTTTGAAACTGAAGCTCCTATGGAATGTAATATTTCGGAAATTGTTCCATCTTTCGGAGATTTAATCACATACTGAAAAAAATAAAATGAAAAAAAATTATTTTTTTATAACAATAATGACAATTTTATTTAATTTTTTATAACAAAAATTATTATATTTTATTAGATCATATGACTAATACTATTTTCATAAGCTGTTTAAAATTAATGAAAACTTTATAAAATAGCAACTATACCTCCATTTTCATGGCAATGATGGTTAGTAAAGGTTCTCCTGCTTTTACTTGATCTCCCTTTTTAACAAATACTTTATCAACTATTCCAGGCATTGGAGATACTGCTGAATCACTAGATTCTGTTTCCTGAATTTTTTTTATATACTTTGGAACAGGCATGATTCCTTCAATTTTGCCTTTACCTGAGAATACACTTATTCTATTGCCTTTGATGAATGCTTTAACTTCCATTATCTAAAAAAAAATATTAAAAAATAAGTTAATCGCTTATTAAAAAGAAAAAATAATAACAATATAAATAATATAAATTTAAAAAAAAGTATTCTTTATAGAGATGTAAAATTTGTTAAAAATTACCTGATTTTTTATTTTATAATTTATGGTCATATCATCTTGTCTCTTTAAGTATGATCCACACACTTCAAATTCATAATTATTACTTTCTTTTTCATCTTCATCTTGAATTATATAGTTAATTTTCCATGTATTGTTATTAAGGCACACAACATTAATTATTGCTTTGACTTTTTCACTAAAATTGTACATTAAATTTCTTTCCAAACAATGATTTAATCTAAATGAACCTGCCGCAACAAATGGATCACTAGATTCAATGTGTTTAATATTATTAGAATGTTCTGTAAATATTTGAGCAAGAACGACAGCTGCTATGTTTTCTGCTGTGTATTTTCTTTTCGGGAATAATTCTGCCATATGATCAGGAATAAAATTAGTATGAACATTTCCTTTTTTAAACTCTGGATGATCAGATAAAGACAGTAAAAAATTGATATTTGTTTCTAATCCGGCAACCTGGGAAAAAATTTTTTTGTTTTAATTACTAACTTTAGAATAAATATTTATGTTAGTAAAAAGATCAAATATTAATATTTTTATAACTAACATTAAAATTGGTTAGATTATTTTTAAATTTTAATAATGCCTCCTCCCGCTCGGATCCCCACACAACAAGTTTTGCTATCATTGGGTCGTAATACACTGAAATATCATCTCCTTGCCTTACACCAATTTCTACTCTTACGTCGTTATTTTCTAAAGGCGTATTTAAATATTCCAATTTTCCTGCTCCTGGAAAAAAATTCTGTTCAGGATTTTCAGCATAAATCCGAGCTTCAAAAGCATGTCCGTGTAATTTTATTTCTTCTTGTTTGAGTGGAAGTTTTTCCCCATTTGCAACCTATTATTAATAGAAATATCGTTCTACTTTATATTTAAAAATGTATTTGTATAGTAAGAAATGTAATTTTCTTTCGTTTTATAATACAAATGAAAATATGAAAAATTTTTTTTGTAATTTTAATAATTTTGTAAATAAATGAAATATATAAACAAGCACCTTGAATTGCCACTCAACTAAATCAGTTCCAGTAACCATTTCTGTAACAGGATGTTCCACTTGCAGTCTTGTGTTCATTTCCATAAAAAAATACTCATGAGTTTTTTTATCGAGAATGAATTCAACTGTTCCAGCTCCAACATATCCGACAGCTCTAGCTGCTTGACTAGCAGCAGTTCCTAATCTTTTTCGCAGATCATCCGATAATCCAGGCTGCAAATTTAAAATAGCATTATTAGAACAATTCATACAGCAGTTGCATACAGTAATTGTTTTTTTATTCTTGTAAAAAAAATTCAGTTATTTTTTGTTGTTGCTAAATATTGATTAATGTCACTTTAAAAAATTTTTTTAAATATTTTGTAAAAATTAGAGTATTTTCACAGCATGTACTAATATTTAAGGAAAATATTTATTAAGTGATTTCACAAAAATTGTTAGTTTTCATAGGGTTAAAGAACACTTTTTTGAAAACGCCACTATATTGTAATACTTATCATTATGTAACACAGGGAATATTACTACTGAAGGCCATTTTTCATATAAGTCATGACTTCATTTAATGATCGATAAAATATGTTTCAACAAACAGTTCCTTTTACTTCAGTTTTGCGTAAATTTCACAAAAAACTGATAGTTAAACTACTTACAGCGGGAGCTTCTTCAATAACTTTCTGATGTCTTCT